GGTCTTGGGTGACTGTCTGTGTGGAGTTTGCATATTGTCTACTTGGGTTTCCCCTGGATGCTCTGGTTTCCTGCCACAGTCCAAAGATGTGCTAGTTAGGTGGATTGGTCATGCTAAATTGCCCATAACGCCAAGGTATGTGCAAGCTAGGTGGGTTAGCCATGGTAAATGTAGGGTTACAGGAATAGAGTAGGGGGTGGGTCTGCGTGGGATACTTTTCAGAGGTCAGTGTGGATTCGATGGGTCAAATGGCCTGCTTCCACACTGCATGGATTCTATGAAAGCCATCTATTTAGCTAAAGAAAGAAGTGGGAGTGCTGGTAATGTGATTGAAATTGCTGTTTCTTGAATAGAATTAATCATATAGCTTTGACTTTTTTTTTCATCCATAATTGACATCAATACAGTCATCAACAAAGAAGCTCTAGGCTTACCTACTGTCTGCCTCTGGTTTCAGCCTCTATTGAAAGCTGATTTCCAGAAAGAATCCTTGCCTCAAAAGTGAACTAATTTCCCAGCCTACAAGAATTATAATACTGCACATGCAACTGCAATTTACTCACATCTGACCTACTACAAAAAAAGAAATCTGCCGGACCAGCCTGCTACAAAACTTCATTCACTATTGATTTACTGCAATCTAATTTGCACAAATCAATGCCAGTATCTTTGATTTTTAAGTAACTTTTAAATGTAATTTTCCTTTTCTTTGTTTTCTTTCTTTTGACCCTATTACTTTTGTGTGAGTGAGTTTGTGTTGTAAACTATTCTCCTAGGTTTTCAATGCATTAATAAACCGTAAATGAACCTAAGGTCATTTTTAAATTATACTGCACAAACATGGTTTGGGGATACACAGCATTTTATGGAATAAAATGTAAATAAAGGATTCTGGGTAATCCAAGATGGAGGACAGGAAAAGTTGTGGCTGTAAGAGGTGTGCTTTTTCTGAGGTATTTTCAATGTTGTATCTGACTTCCTTGAATATTTGGAGCAGTACTTATTCTTTTAGAAGCTATTGCATTTTTATGGAACTTTGGCAAAAAAAGGTCAAATCAACAGCACTTTAAAAAAGGTGGGAGAGAGAGAGAGAGAGAGCAGACACCAGACACCAGACACCATGTGAGACATGAAAAAATGGAATGGTAAACCTGCACAGCTGACTGCCTCTGCTGTTTAGTTTCAAGTATCTCTGTATGTCAGAGTTTGTTCATTCTAAGAGAAATAAACAAACAGTGAAATTCACAACAGACCTTGGAGAAACCTGTGTGGGGGGAATCACAGCAGGGGAGCAGCTAAGTGGCTAGTTATTAAAGTATAACCGTACTTTTTTATGTTAATCCAAAATAGAGTAGTTTTTTTTAATTATATGTTTTATTGAGATCTGCTTCTTGATTAAACTTAAAAAAAATAAAACATAGGTACTAAGTTATCTGAGAGGAGTATTTTTAGAGTAGTAAGACTATGCTATTTTCTGGATCTGTAGATTGTTAAGGTGCAAAGATGTCCTTTAGTAGAGTGATGTGCTCTTCCTCTCAGATCTGGGAGATTAGGGAGAGTTTCAATGTTACCCATGATTATGTCTACAGGAAGCGTGCTTTGTTGCAAATCCTATCAGGTCATATGGATTGGTGAGAGGCAATGAAGAATTTACAGGAGCTAGGGGGTCTAATGGATGGCAGTTGCAGGAAGGGAGAAAAACCACAGATACAGTCAGATAGATGGGTTGCCTCCAGGAAAGGTGGGACGGGTAGGCTATCTCTATCTCAAACAAATATGCTGTTTTGGAAAATGTAAGGAGTGATGGACTCTCAGGGGAATGTAGCACTGACAGCCAGCTTTCTGGTCCCAAGAGTAGCTTTAGTGTAACAAGGGGTAAGTCAGGTTTCAAACAATCGATTATGATAGGGGACTCTGTAGTCAGAGGCACAGACAGACGTTTCTGTGGCCAACAACGAATCATCAGAATGGGGTGTTGCCTCCGTGGAACCAGGATCAAGGATGTCTCGGACAGGGTGCAGAGTATTCTCAAAGGGGAGGGAACTAGCAGGAGATCATTGTATATGATGGAACTAATGACATAGGAAGAGAAAATGACAAGGTTCTGAGGAGAGAAGATAGGAAATTAAACAGGAATTTAAAAAGTAGATCCTTGAGGGTAGTGACATCTGGATTACTCCTGGTGCCACGAGCTAGTGAGGGCAGGAATAGGAGGATAGCGTGGATGAATGAGTGGCTGAGGAGCTGTGTAGGGGAGAAGGATTCATATTTTTGGATCATTGGAATCTCTTCTAGGGTAAAGTGACCTGCATAAGAAGGATGGATTGTACCTGAATTGTAAGGGAACTAATATACTGGTGGGGAGATTTGCTAGAACTGCTTGGGTGGATTTAAACTAGTAAAGGCGGGGTGGCGGGGTGGTGGGTTGGACACAGGGAGACAGTGAGAAAAGAGATTAGTCCGAGACTGGTACAGTTAGGAAAAGGAGCAAGTCAAACAGTCAAGGCAGACGGGAACAAAGCAGTGAACAAGGTAGTACTGATAAATTAAACGGCATTTATTTCAATGCAAGAGGCCGAACAGGTAAGGAATTCAGGGCGTGATTGGGAACATGGGACTGGGATATCATAATGATGACAGAAACGTGGCTCAGGGATGGGCAAGACTGGTAGCTTAATGTTCCAGGATATTGATACTATAGGAACAATAAGAAGAGGGGGGCAAGGGAGGAAGGGGAGTGGCATTTTTGATTAGGGATAACATTACGGCTGTACTTAGGGAGGATATTCCTGGGAGTATGTCCAGGGAAGTTATTTGGGTGGACCTGAGAAATAAGAAAAGGATACTCACTTTATTGGGATTGCACTGTAGACCCCTCAATAGTCAGTGGGAAATTGAGAACAAATTTGCAAGGAGATCTCAGTTATCTGTGAGAATAATAGGGTGGTTATGATAGGGGATTTTGACTTTCCACACATAGACTGGGACTGCCATAGTTTTAAGGACTTGGATGGAGAGGAATTTGTTGTTAAGTGTGTACAAGAAAATTTTCTGATTCAGTATTTGGATGTACCTAGTAGAGAAGGAGCAAAACATGACCTATTCTTGGGAAATAAGGCAGGGCAGGTGACTGAGGTATCAGTGGGGGAGCAATTTGAGGTGAGTGATCTTAATTCTATTAGTTTTACAATAGTGATGGACAAGGATAGTCCGGATCTAAAAGTTAAATTTCTAAATTGGAGGAAGGCCAATTTTGACTGTATTAGTATTAGGCTGTATTATCAAAAGTTGACTGGGGGCAGATATTTGCAGGTAAAGGGACAGTTAGAAAATGGGAAGCCTTCAAAAATGAGATAACGAGAGCCCAGGGACAGTATGTCCCTGTTAGAGTAAACGACAAGGCTAGTAGGTATAGGGAATACTGGATAAATGGAGAAATTGAGGTTTTGGTCAAGAAAAAGAAGGAAACGTATGTCAGATAGAGACAGCAGGGATCGAGTGAATTCTGAGAAGAGTACAAAGGCAATAGAAGTAATACTTAAGAGTGAAATTAGGAGGGCAAAAAGGAGACATGAGGAGACATTTGCTTTGGCAAATAGGGTTAAGGAGAATCCAAAGGGATTCTACAGATACATTAAGGACAAAAAGGTAGCTAGAGAGAGAATAGGGCCCCTTAAAAATCAGCAAGGATGCCTATGTGTGGAGCTGCAGGAGATAGGAGAAATACTAAAGAAATATTTTGCATCAGTGTTTACTCTGGAGAAGGATATTGAAGCTAGAGAACTTGGGGAAATAAATAGCGACATCTTGAAAGATGTACTTATTACACAGGAGGAGGTGTTGGGCATCTTAAAATGCATAAAGATGGATAAATCCCCAGGACCTGATCAGGTGTACCCTAGAACTCTGTAAGAAGCTAGGAAAGTGATTGCTGGATCCCTCACTGAGATACTTGCATCATCAACAGCTACAGATGAGGTGCTGTAGGAATGGGGCTTGGCTAATATGGTGCCACTATTTAAGAAAAGGTGGTAAGGAAAAGCCAGGGAATCATAGACTGGTGAGCCTGATATCAGTGGTGGACAAGTTGTTGGAGGGCATCCTGAGGGACAGAATTTACATGTATTTGGAAAGGCAAGGACTGATTAGGGATAATCAACATGGCTTTGTTTGGGAAATCATGTCTCACTAAATTAATTGGGTTTTTTTTAAAGAAGTAACAAAGAAGATTGATGAAGACAGAGCAGTGGACAATATCTATGTGGATGTCAGTAAGGTGCTCGACAAAGTTCTGCATGGTAGACTGGTTAGCAAGTGTAGATCACATGAAGTACAGGTAGAAGTGGTGAAGGCTGGTACAATTACAACATTTAAGAGGTATCTGGATGGGTATATGAATAGGAAGGGTTCAGAGGGATACGGGCCAAATGCTGGCAAATGGGACTAGATTAATTTAGGATATCTGGTTGGCATGGATGAGTTGGAGCGTTTCCATGTTGTACAACTCAATGACTCTATAACTAGCCGTTTGGATACAGAATTGGCTCAAAGGTAGGGCGATGGTGGACAGTTGCTTTTCAGACTGGAAGCCTGTGACCAGCGATGTGCTGCGAGGATCAGTGCTGTGTCCACTACTCTTTGTCATTTTATAAATGATTTGGATGTGAACATTGGAGGAATGGTTAGTAAGTTTGCAGACGACACCAAAATTGGTGGTGTAGTGGATATTGAAGAAGGTTACCCAAAGTACAATGGGGTGTTGATCAGATAGGCAGGTGGGCCGAGGAGTGGCAAATGGAGTTTCATTTAGATAAATATGAGGTGCTGCATTTTGGAAAGACAAACTAGGGCAGAACTAATACAGTTCATAGTAAGGTCCTAGGCTGTCTTGCTGAACAAAGAGACCTTGGAGTGCAGGTTCACAGTTCTTTGAAAGTAGAGTCGCAGGTAGACAGGTTAGTGAAGAAGGCATATGGCATGTTGCCTTTATTGGTCAGTACATTGAGAACAGGTGTTGAGAGGTCATGTTGTGGCTGTACAGGACATTGGTTAGACCACTATTGGAATACTTCATTCAATTCTGGTCTCCCTACTATTGAAAGGACGTTGTGAAACTTGAAAGGGTTCAGAAAAGATTTACAAGGATGTTGCCAGGGTTGGAGGGTTTGAGCTACAGGGAGAGGTTGAATAGGTTGGAGCTATTTTCCCTGGAGTGTCGGAGGCTGAGGGGTGACTTTGTAGAGGTTTATAAATTCATGAGGGGCATGGATAGGGTGAATAGCCAAGGTCTTCTCCCTGGGGTGGGGGAGTCCAGAACTAGAAGGCGTGGGTTTGAGGTGAGAGGGGAAAGATTGAAAAGGGACCTAAGACACAACTTTTTCACGCAGTGGGTGGTGCATGTATGGAATGAGCTGCCAGAGGAAGTAGTGGAGGCTGGTACAATTACAACATTTAAAAGGCCTCTGGATGGGTATATGAATAGGAAAGATGTAGAGGGATATGGGCCAAATGCTGACAAATGGGACTAGATTAATTTAGGATATCTGGTTGGCAAGAAAGAGTTGGACTGAAGGGTCAGTTTCCATGTTGTACATCTTTATGACTCTGTGACTCTAAGAAACAAATTACATTTATCTCTGTTACAGACAGGAGAGAATGACTGTGAAATAATTACATTCATCCTTCCATTGTGTCCAATATAGAAATTGGGGTCTCATGCCCAGATTAGATCCAATAAAATGAGCCAGAAGTATTACTACAGTTCACAGAAATCTGATTGTATTCCAAATTTTAGAACAAGCCTGAATTGAATACTGAAAGAAATTGATTGGAAGCCAAAGAGGGAAAATTCAATGGCTATCTTTACACACAACCGTAGCATTTTTTTGCCATTCTAATATTAAAGCAATATTGTGAATTGTACTACTATTTGGGTGTGGAAAAGAAGAATTAT